ACGGACTGTTACATGATTTTTAAATCTTACTTTGGATGCATAATATGGTTATATACATATTAGATTTTGATTATGTTTATTCTGGATTTTAATTGATGAACTATTCAATTTTGTTCTGTCAATTACATGGATTCTCTGGATTGTGTGCACCGATATAGGATGATGGCATACTAGGGATGGATTAGTTCAAAATACTAAGTCCTACCTACTTTAGAATAAGGGAATGGATTAACAATAATGTTACATCCTACTTATATATCGTGTCAAGGCAACGAACAGTTGAGCGGCACTACTTTGGTTATGGATAGATTATAAATATATATTTATGGTACCACGATATGAGCTTGAGTCTCAAAATCGATGGTTAGGGAGCGTATATGCATTGGGATGCATAGCTGACTATGATGGTAGAGGTGTACCCTGTTAGGTCTAGGTACTTATGCCCACTTCAGGTGCGTTTTGCATGTTACCTTCTATTCAGGTTGAGACCCCCTTTGTAGTCCAGTGAGAGTCCCTTAGTGTGGATATATATATGTATGGACTAGATAGATATTGTTGAGCTATCTAGGATATATCTGCGTATCGGGTCTCTATTTGGATTGTTATTAGAATAGAACTTATTCGTGGGCCTGACCCACTATTATTTTTCAAATATCGGACGGTTCCAATCTTAGAGCTTGTTCGTGTTGAGCAGAGACAGTCACTCATTCTTCCGACTACGTAGGCCTGCTATTTATGTTTAGCTCTGAATTTCTTTTTTAGTTCAGTTATTTTTCAGTTGGGATTTTTATTAGGGGTCCACTGGATGGATTCCTGAGTTGTACTTGTATTGGAGGATTATATTATTCGTATTTCGAGGTTTTATTAATTAGAATTCTTTTCAGTCTTTATTATTTATTTCTTAATTTTTTTTTTTTGTATTTTGTGTTAGTTTACATACTTAATTGTCTGGTATCCGTCGGATCTGTGCTTAGACTTGATCACCCGTGACTCTAGAATCGAGGGGTATTATAAGTTTCTACAAAAGAGGCAGGACATACCCTACACCTCCAATAAAAAATAAATAAATAAATAAATAAATAAACAAAAGATGAAATAAAATACATGAACTATCATGCGCAGGTTTATTCTCGGGTTCAGCCCCACCTTCTACATTGAACCTCTGAGTAAAAGCATCAACCAGCTCCACCCTAGCTGGAATAGGAGGTGCAGCAGGAATCTAGGAAAGCAACCCTTGAGAACTTGAAGGATACTAAAGAGGGGGCAAAACCTCAAGGGACACCTCGCCCTTCAGCAGGGCAGTAAACTCAACCTCTCTAGGGCCAGCAAAGGGCTCAGCATACTCACCAGTAACCAAGAGCCCCTGCTCGGCATCATACTCATCAGCATTACCATAATCTCTCTCCTCAGAGGGAAGCTGCCCTTGAGCAAATCCGAGCCTAAAACCCTTGGCATAACGGAGATTGGTAATTTGGGAGAAACGGTTGAACATATCCAAACCCTTTTCTTTGCAAGTCTGGATCAAGGAATTTGCCTTCCTAAGCTGAAAGTGGAGATCAGCGCTTTGTTCTCAAGTTCTTTGGCCCTCTTATCAAAGTATTCAATTGATTTAAACTATTGGACCTTCTCCTTTTTGTCTTCAGTAAGAGAAACCTCCAAAAGATCTATCCTCTTCTGTAGGGCAGCAGACTGGTTCGCTTAAAGAGATTTAGCTGACAATTTCTTCATGAAAGCGAACATCAAGAAAAAGCTTTGTAGAAGAATAGCAGAGTGTCATCAAATAGATAAGCAACAAGAAAAGAAAAGGAGAAATCAGAAAAAGTTACCTCCATTATAGACTTAGGAGCAAAGGAAAGCAGGTCATCAACGCTCATCTGTTGTTGTAAAATCTCATCCCTAGGTGGCCACATCCCTCAGGCTAAACCCATCAATGTCTCCGGATCCTCGGCTCCAAAATTCCTTATAGTAATAGGGGAGCTATCAGCCTTCAACATCACAAGGAACCACCTCTCGGCCAAACCCGCAAAATCGCCCCCAGCGACATTTGTAGAACCTGGGACTAAGGCACTTCTGCCACCAAAAGCCCAAGCCATAAGCTTAGAACGCTTGGAGGGAGGATCATCCCTCACAGGAAGACGATTAATCCCCTGCCTAGTTAGAATCCCCTTCTGTTTCTGAGAAGGGGAAGATTTATTTGCATCAGCTAAGGCATTCTTCCTCTCCTACAGAAGCTTAGCAGCAGCCTCCCTCTCTTTCCTAGTCGAACGAGGTTTTGGATAAGGAAGTTCCATTATAGACTGAGAAAGAAGAAGAGGGGCAGGCGAAGTAAGATCGGCCTCAGTATCAAAAACCTCGAGGTCAATAGGTTCCTCGAGATTTTGAATAAACACAGGAACATCCCTAGAAATTGCCTCAAAAAGACAAGAAGAGAGCAAGACCCGAGCCGAGGGAACGTCGCCCCAGACGTGCAATCACAAGTCTTCAAATCGGATATTTGTAAATTTTGAAGGAAAAAAGTCAGTATTATAACCTAAAAAGTCATAAATATAACAAAAATGTTTTACGGCACAGGTAAAGCAAGGAAACTCGCCCGAATCATCAAAAGCGAGAACAGGTGGGGCATGAAAGCTCATCCAGATAGGAAAATCCTGAGCAGAAGAGGAGCGCCACGCCCCTTCGACCTGAACAATTTTATCTTTCCACTCTTTATCAGAAGTGTTAAAATGAGTTAAAAAAGCTCTACCAGTCTTAGAATGGAAATGAAACTGACCCTCCTCACCTTTAATTCTATTAAGGGTATAACAGAAGAGAAGATCAGCGAGATTTAGGGTCAAACCCCTAACCCTATTCAGGGCAAGAAGGCAAGAAATAATACGAAAAAAGTTAGGGTTAACCTAAAGAGGAGCCAAATTCAACATCGACACCAAATTCAACACCGACAGGACCCGAAGATAGAAAGGATTAAGGGGAAATTGAAAGGCAGGAAAATGTAAAGCCGAGAAGAGCGTCTCGCCTTCCTTCAAACCCTCGCTGATGCTAAAATTCAGATTGTGATCATATTCCTCAAGGGTGACATTTGAAGGGACACGATTCTTCTTTCTCAACTGTGTAATAGAGAAAGATTTCCTCTCTACGATATCATGAGGAAGTACAATCGGCCCCTCAACGTTACCACTTGAACTCATCGCCGGCGTCACCGACTCAGAGTTAGATGTACGAGCACTATGGGTTCTTTCACTACTCGCTTGACTCATAATGACAGAAAGAAAGTGAGAAAGTGACTAACCTTAGCAAACGAGGGGAAAGTTATGCAGCGGCAGAAAAAACTCTTCTTAGAATCAAGAACGAAACTGCAGAAGTAGATACCCAAGTAACAAGGTCACAACATATATGGTCAGGATGAAGTAGATAACGAAGAGGCAAACAAGAGACCCCAAAAAATAGGGGCACGAATGGTAATGATAGGCAGTAACAGCTGCAAAAACTTCTCCACTTCCAAAACAGTTACAATTCCATATATGAATTGAATTCATAAAAGGAATCGGGGGCAAAGTGTGGAGGGAAAAATCCCTACCAATCATAATACACAACACATGGCAGCAAAAGAGCGGCCCAATACTAAACTAAAAAAAAACCCACCATCAATTGGAGGCCCAACAACAAAAACCATACACACATGTTAACTCAACCCGATTAAATAAAGGAAGCTCCGCTTGACATAAAAACCGATGGGTAGCCCAATCTCGGCAGGCCCATAAGACCATAACGCATGCCATAAAATTAAATATGCACACGATCAGTAAGCATAAATACCTATGTCTGGGAATAAAGCCAGAAAATGGCTCCATGAAATTCTCTGAACAAAGCTTATAAGTAGAGTATGAATGAGAATGAAAGATCATCGAATTCCTATCATTGTTTCTCACTTCAAGAATTGTTTGTTGTCTTATCTATATTTTGTGTATTTCTTCTGATTTATTTCTTTAAGTATTCGGGTGTGAGAAAATTGCACCTACATAAGCGTGTTTAACCTGTAGTAGTACTTGGATGGGTGACCCCTAGGGAAGTCTCTGGTCCTGGGGAGCTAAAAGCGAACAATATTGTGTCTGGTTAGAGTGAGGGTTGTTATAGAGAAGTTTGTAAGGAAGGTGAGAGTAAAGTGTGTAAAAAGCTAGGCCCAGGGTTCAATTTTCACTACGAGCTTACAACTACTTTGGCCATGTCTCCGTTATCGTACTTAGCGACTTGGGAATTAGTCGGGGCAAAATCTCAAATACCCCGAGTTATCTAAAAAAAAAAAAAAAAAAAGGTGCAAGCAGAACCCCAGCCAATGGCGGGCTACCCCGACCCATCCCATCCCATCCCAATTCATATCAAATGACATCCTTATACTTATCTATATTTAATGAAGTACATCTTTAATGGTCAACTATATTGGGATGAAGGGAGTATAAAAGTTAAAAGCTTGTTTCAAATTTGCAATCCAACCCGTGCTAAGACCACCCCGCTCACTCCCAATGATCGGGCTTGGGTTTCTCAAAATACCCTTAGATCTGGGGCGCCCCCTTTATTATGCACACTTGAGAGAGATGATGTTAGAAAAGGTGAGGGGAGTTGGGATAGAGCATTAATTGTGTCATTATTTTAGGGACATTTAAGTAATTTAACATGTGAGCATTTTTTAAATAAATAATGTATAAAAATTTGAGGGGGTAAAATTGACATTTCATAATATTTATCTCGCTCTCTCTGTATATATCACGTCACAGAATTATGATGTCAAAAATAAAAAGTTTCCATCTAGGCGGTCTCTCTCTCTCTCTCTCTCTCTCTCTCGATTGTACTATATACCACTGGATAACATTTTCTCTTTCTAAATATATTTACTGTCCCTCCCGCCGTTACCATTGGGCCACCGTGGGGCATCGCACAGAAAGGAACGGAAAAGGGTATCATCTCCTCTACCCTTTCTATTTATATATATTTCTATGTATATTTCTGCTTCTTTCTCTCTCCTATTTTCATGCTTCTTTAGCGGTTTCGCCCTCTCTCTCTCTCTCTCTCTCTCTAATTCTCTCTCTTCATGCTATGATCGGTCTATCATTGTATTCATCTTCTCCATTCTGATTTTCTTCTCTGGTTCTCGTTACGTGATTCTCATTCTGCACTCCTCATATGCTGTTGCTCTTTGTTTTCTGCCCTTTTAAGTTCGAATCATTTGCTTGTTGAATTCAACTGGGGACAGCTCAATTTTGGAATTTGGGTCCTCTGATTTGTTCAATTTAGGGTTTGTGTGATTCAATTATAAATTCATCTTACGTACCTTAATTTCTTCAATTTTGTTTCATTATATGTAGGGTTATAGCTAATGAGGGGTTCATTTCATTCTGATTTTTTTTTTTTTTTTTCCTTCAGGTCTGACTATCTTTTCTCCCTAGTTTTTGAGCTTCTTAGCTCGTCTCTGGCACCAAATGGAATTTGATTTCAGTATTTCCTCACACTGCTCATTTTTCTGAGTGATTCAGCGTTGGTTTCTCTTTAGAATTTGATTCGACACAGAATTTCTGCTCAATTCAGGTAATTGCATCTCTCTTTTTTTATTATTGTTGTTATTATTATTATTATTATTTCTAATTCTTGTTAAATAGATTTGTGTTGATCCTGCTAAATCAAACCACAAATTTCACTTCTATGTTGTTGACACTTCTGTGGTGTTTTCTGTGCGTCTACAATTATATTTACTATTTTTGGTTGTGGTTTACTTTTAGTAAGTTCCCCGTGATAGATAACATTGTTCTTTACCTTGCGTTTTACATAGAAACTATATGTGTATTTGCATGTCAGTGTGTTTCTGCGTGCTTAATGATTCTTTTATGTTCACTTTTGAGACCCTGTTAAAAGAACAAATAAAGAATAGGAAGATTAGCTCTGAGCACTGAGCGAGACCTAATGTGCAGACCTTAGAGATTTTTGTGATCCTCGTATATTTTCTGAGCGATCATATTGGCGTTGCACTGAGCAAAATGGTATTTTTATTCACTAATCAGATTTATCAACCTTGAGCGAATCATTTTGTTGGTATATTCACTTCTAAACTCAAGAGAAAAGGGGCAAGGGGGGTGGGGAGGGAGGAAACAGTGAAGAAATGGTTCCTTTTTTTTTTTTCTCATGCTATGTGGGAGGTGAACCATTAACACGGGTTCAAGTGTTTATTACTTTTCAAGTTTCCATATTTAGGGTATCCTTCATTCCTTTGTGATTCCTTTTATTAATTACTTTTCTCACTCTAGTTTTAATTAGTCAATTCATCTTATAAACTGTAGAGGTCTTTTGGAATTTATATGAAGGGAAATTTTTTTTTTTTTTTTCCCTATTTATACCTTGAACAGTATTCATTACTATTTGAATAATTTCATTCAAATGATAAGTAATTTAATCTACAGCCCTATTTCTTTCTGGCTATGTTTATGATTCCTCACACCTTTCCCATCATTTGTTTTATTAATTATTTCTAGTTGTTTGCTAGTCTCTTGAGCTTAAGATGTAATGTTGTTTTTCTTTTTCCTGCGTTTGACATTTCTTCTTCTCCTTTTACATTCAGGGCGTTACCATTCTGTTTGTATAGTTGTGAGCTATTGGCAAAAATTTGTTGTGAGATCAGAGTAATAGAGATGAGTCACATGACTAATGAGAGCGAAGATGAGATGCTCTCCAAGGATCAAATTGGGTCACCTTTAATTGACGAAGGCAACTGTGTAGGTAATGCGAATGGGGGATCTATTTTAAAGAAAGGACCCTGGACATCTGCAGAAGACGCAATATTGGTGGACTATGTCAAGATGCATGGAGAGGGGAACTGGAATGCTGTTCAGAAGCACTCAGGGCTGTTACGTTGTGGGAAAAGCTGCCGCTTACGATGGGCAAATCACCTGAGGCCAAACTTGAAGAAGGGGGCATTCACCGCAGAGGAAGAGCGTCTGATCATTGAATTGCATGCCAAGATGGGAAACAAATGGGCACGGATGGCTGCACATGTAAGTATAGTTTACTTTCTTACATGACATGGTGCTCCTGTTCTTCATCTTTTTTATTTTTGGTCTCTCTTTTTCTTTCGGCTGCATATAAATAGTAGTTAAAAAGAGAGAGATGGCACATACAATTTTGTATTTTAATGAATATACTGTGGCTAAAAGAATTGTTACACTTTTTTTACTTATAAAAGAAAGAATTGTTACACTGTTTTGTTTTTGATGAAAAGACATACATATTGCGTTCTATATGAAAATGTGTTATTGCTTGTTTGGATAGGCCAGTATAATTTATAGAAACTATGTTATTGCATATTGAATGAATGTATGAAGGAATCTTATTGACACTCTTTGAAACAATTCAGAGTGGAATATTTATTGTACTCTATAACAGTGTAAGCTGTGATTAATGCACAACAATCATGGAAAGTCAGATATTGTAGGTTGATCTGTTTAGTTTCTAACTTTTTCAAGCGATTATTTTTTGATAAGCTAAGAGTAACTAGTAGCTTAGTAGCCTTAACACTGAAAAGACTTAGGCGCAGTAGCATGATATATATATATATATATATATATATATATATATATATATATATATATATATATGTATGTATGTATATTTTTCTGTAGATGTTGGTAAATTTGGTAGAAGTCATTTACTTTATTTAGGCCGTGCTTATACTGATAAACAAAGAGTTCAAGTTTTCCATATCATAAGTGAAGGATCGTGTTCTTGCCTTAATAAATGCCATCTTTTTTAAGGCTTTAAGCTATATATTGTCCAGATTTTATTTGATTTCTTTTTCTTATTATTTTTTTTTCTCCTTTTGTTTTTCCCTTTTATTTCTAGACAGTTTTCAATGGATTTGGAAAAAATTTGCAATATACGTTTAAGTTAGGGAATTATTTCTTCTTCTTCTTTGTAATCTAAAAAATAAAAATATGTACAATTTTAAAGTTAAGAGTCAAGAAACTAATACATATGCTCTTGGTGGAAATGTTCAAAACCTTTTTTGGAGGCTAACTCAACTCAACAAAGTCTTTATTGGCTACTAGGGGTCGGCTACATGAATCCTCTTTTTCCATTCTGCTCTATATAAGGCTAAAACGGTAAAACCTTAGTCAAATCATAAGTTAACATATATTTTCATACTAACTCTATCCACGGTCTTTCCTGTCCCCCAACATTGTCCCCAATGTCGAACATGTCACTCTTCCTAATTGGTGCACTTAATGGTCTTTTTTTTTACATGTCCGAACCCTATTAATTGATTTTATCTCATTTTATCTCCAATGCATGTCACTTCAACCATCTCACAAGTCACAAACATGTTCATTTCTAATTCCCTACTTTCTTGTCTTTGTTTTGCCGCCCATCCATCTCAATATTCGCATTTCTGCTACGTTCACTATATGCATATGATGTCTTTTTTGAGGTAAACTCTGAAAAAAATAAATCATTGATGGTGCATTTTTTGAGCAGCTTTGGATCACATTATTTTGCATGCCAAAGGAGTCTGTTTAGTGCATTTGGAGGTGTAACCTATGTGAAGATTACTACAAAGTTGTAACTTGTAAAGTTGTAACTTGTAATTGTCACTTGTCTCAACCATGATGCATCAATTTTCTGACTCCCTTGCCACTTTCAGTTGCCTGGACGAACAGATAATGAAATAAAGAATTATTGGAATACCCGAATCAAGAGGTGTCAACGTGCTGGATTACCTCTCTATCCTCCTGAAGTGTGTCTGCAAGGATTGCAAGAAACTGGAGAAAATCAATATGCTATTGGAGATGGAACACATCCTGATCTCTTGCAAACTGACAATGATGATATACCTGATGTCATTTTTGACAGTTTAAAGGCAAATCAGGGAGTCTTACCTTATGTCCCGAAACTTCCTGATATATCTGCATGTAACATGCTGATGAAAGGTCTTGGTTCTTCGCAATATTATAGTTTTGTGTCCCCAAAAGTTAATCTCCGGAAGCGTCTTCGAGAATCAGCAACCTCATTCTCTGGTTACGACGGTAGTGTAAGAAATGAGTCCCTACCAGTTGACCAGACTCAGGATGATAGTTGTAATAATGAATTTTCTCAATTCTTTGGGTTCTCTTTTCCGTTTGACCCTGACTCTTTTACTAAGAACTTGTTACCTTTTGGTATAAACCAGGGCAGCCATTCCCTCTTAAATGGTAATTTCTCTGCTTCTAAGCCCACTTCCAGGGCTGTGAAGTTGGAGCTCCCTTCACTCCAATATCCAGAAACTGATTTAGGTAGCTGGGGTTCATCTTCTCCGCCACCATTACTTGAGTCAGTGGATGATTTCATTCAGTCTCCCCCATCATCTGGGATACTTCACTCTGATTGTCTATCACCAAGGAATAGTGGCCTATTAGATGCCTTACTGCATGAGGCAAAGAGTCTGAGCAATGCAAAGAATCGATTGTCAGAGAAAAGTCCAAATTCTTCTAGTATTACTCCTGGTGATATATCAGATAATTCTGCCTTGAATATGTGTGAGGCAAAATGGGAAGACTTTGGTGAATCCATATCGCCATTGGTTAATTCCACACCGTCGATTTTCAGTGAATGCACTCCTACAAGTGCAGGTGGAAGTTCGTCGGATGAGAAGCCCTCTGTGGAAACCTTTCCTGGTGAGTATATTTTTATTATGTGCTCTATTTTCAAGATTTATTGCTGGAGCATCATAATGACAATCTTAACAATTCTAAGAATATCAAACTTGACTTAAAGAAAATCACTTGTATGTCAAAATTTGCATTCTAAGTTGTATTTGAATGTTCGAGATTTATTGCTGGAGCATCATAACAAAAATCTTAGCTACTCCAAGAATGTCAAATATATCTTAATTTTCTGAGATTCAATTGAAACTCATTCATGAACTTCTGAATGTGGTGAAAAATGTCTGTTTGTTTGCAAAATTTCCATGGTCTGCAGGATTTTAACATAACAAAAAAAATCTTTTGCAAGATATAATACTTTGTCGTTCTCTAATTTAGTTGTACATATTTTTCCCTGTATTCTCCCAACTAAGCTTTAAATTCCAAATTATCAATCCAAAGGCCATAATAAATCCAGCACCCAAAATTTGTCACCTTACAAAGGTCAGCTTGTGTCTGTCTATTGAATTGCAGGGAGCAATGTGAAGTCAGAACCAGTTGACAAGGCTTGGACCCTGGATGAAGAAAGCAAAAAAAATTTGACACAACTGGATCTTTCCAGGCCTGATGCTTTACTTGGTTCATGTTGGCTTGAGCAACGTTTTGTGTGCGCTAAGGACCAAGGCATCATGACTGATGCTATAGCAGCGATTCTGGGTGATGATTTAGCTAATAACCATAAGCACTTGGCTGCTGCAAGTGCATCAAATCAAGCATGGAGGTTTGGTTCTTGCACTTGGAATAACATGCCTGCTGTCTGCCAAATGTCTGAGCTTCCTTGAAACCAGCCTTTTTCGTCGAATTCCTGAACTTTTTTTTTGTCCCTCCCATGTTTTTGTTGAAGAATTGTTTGAATCAGACATGAGCATCTCCTGTGTTCAGATTAATCTGTTGCAGGAACGCTATGATGTGCACGGGTTGTGGTTTGGTTTTTTTTTTTTTTTTTTTTTTCTTATTTACTTTTTAGGCTTTGTATTCTTGTTTTCCAGATAAGTGTTTTGCGTGTATGCCAACACGAAAACTTGTTGGGGGCATACGAATGCATCCAAACTTCAGTTGTGATTGTAGAATAACTATGCACCTTCCATGCCGATTGTGGTTCATGATTTTTGGTTATTTGAGAATTTTGATTTAACATTTGGATGCTTCTGTTTTTTCTTCATATAGTAAAAAATAGGCACGTACATATGTCAAATTTTGCCCTAGGAACTTTAATTTCTTATTTTTGCTCCTCTGATCTATTGTGTTTCTTGGCTCTCATCTATATAACAGGTTTTATAAGCCTATATGTTGGAGGACTATGCATTTGTCAATGCTGTGGCTTAAATATGCATGTTTTAACTATTTATGGTGACCAGATGCCACTGCTTTCATCTTTTATCCCTAGTTCATTTTCCAAGTTAAAACACCCTCTCTCTCTCTCTCTCTCTCTCTCTCTCTCTCTCTCTAACACACACACACACACACACATACAATTGTGCAGTAGGATTTGAAATCCTCCTATGCTCAAGATTTGTTAGGTCTATGCATTAGTCAATGCTGTGTCTTGAATGCATGTTTTAACTATTTATGGTGACCAGATGCCCACTGCTTTTATCTTTTATCCCTAGTTCATTGTCCAAGTTAAAACACCCTCTCTCTCTCTCTCTCTCTCTCTCTCTCACGCGCGCGCACATACAAAATTGTGAAGTAGGATTCGAACTCACACACACCAACACCAAAAAATTGTGCAGTAGGATTTGAAATCCTCCTATGCTCAAGATTTGTGCATGCCAGAGGTTCGATAATGGATCTCCTTACCTTTTGTCAATGAGCTATGATTAATTTTTCCAAAAGTGTGGTTCAATATATTTACATTTGCATATTAAAAAAGAGAAAATAAAATAAACTTTCTTTCAAATAGGTAAAGCTGGAAATGTGACCGAAAACAGAACTGATTATGTAATGAGACAGCCGCACATTTTGGAAAGTGTCTCAGACTACGTAGGTGTTATAAATTCACACGGCACCGAGGGGGAATGGTTCTATGGATTGTACCAATTGAGATTCATGTACATCGACATTGATCCATACTGTCTTTATCTTATATGAATGGTGTCTCTATCTTATATGAATGGTGTGAACTATATAAATTATTTTTATTTTTATTTATTTAATCTTGTGACATTTCATGGTGTCACATGATATTAAGTAAAAATATAATATGAATTGAACTCAGTAGAATATTTATAATTATCAAACTTATCTTAATCTCGTGTAAATAGAGTTGAGTGAAAGGGGTCATGATGGTACGTGTTAAATGGAGTCTAATGGAATTTTAAAACAAGATTTAGCAATTTAGTCCTTCCTATCCGTTAGCAGCGTACAAAGTTATTTATTTTTACACTGTTTATTCCATTTGCCTTATGGACCAAATTATACAATTAGAGGGATTAAAATCCATTGAAATGACTTTTAAAATTCTCATTCCAGTCCCTGAAACCATTTAGAATCCCAAACAGTGCCCAAACACACCCAAACAGAGCCTAACCAAGAGCCTGCTCTCAAAACCACAGAGCAGGCTCTTTGCACCATGGAGCCTGCTCTTAGAAGCATGGACATGGTAGTATGTTTCTGTGTTAAATGGAGTTGAATGGAAAGGATCATGATGATAGTACGTCTCTTTAACACGTTATCTGAACTAATCTTTCTCTTCTAATTTTGCATCTATAGGTATTCTACACCATCAAAGTCTACTCTATATTTATTTATAATGTTGGTATAAAAAATTTTCACACTTTCATTAGTAACTTTTTGGTTTAAAAGTGAATGAATCTTGCCACCTACCTTAACATTTTCATTTGTGCAACATAAATGTAAAAAGAAACTTAGGCCCCTTACCATAAGTGATAGACCCAAATAAATAAATAAAATTTAGGGCCCTTCCATTTAATGAATTCACAGCCCATTCAAAATTAGTGTCCTTAAAAATTTTGTGATTAAATTCGAAATTAAATATGGCCATTTACTACTTTATGTATATGTTAGTGTGTATTTCAATAATTAAAGGGTCTAATATTTAAGTTCGCCTAGGACCTCTCAAAATTTTGTCAATCTCAGGGCCGGCCCTACAGGATGGATCTGCTTTTTGCTATTACACCCCTAATTTTACATTTTTTGAATTATATACTTACAAAATTTTAAGTTTGCCCCACCAAAATTATAGAAAAACTCCATTATTGTCCCAAGTTTGTCGTGCCTAACCCCTAACATTTTTGTCCTAAATATATATATATATATATATATATATATATATATATATTGCAGTCTGATGTGGAGGCAATGATTCGACTGGATCAGATGTCTATCTTGTTTTGAAAATTTACAAAAATAAAATAATAATAATTGGAAAGTTGGTCGGTTAGTACAGTTGTGATGGATAGGATGGACTCGTTTATGGAACACTTACAGTTATCTATACATTTTCGCTACCTTTACATGCAGAGCCAAACTTTGATATTTCGTCATGCATTGCAACATCGTTGCCGATTTTTCAGGTCATATTTGGTTGCACTCATCAATTATTGAGCAACGTACCATCACACATCCACTCTTACAAGTGATTGCCGCCAACTTGTTCTTCTATGGATCCTTTGTACGTAGCCTTGAGACAGAGGACATATATATATATATATATATATATATATATATATATATAGTCCTTTGAGACAATAATTCACAGTCGGGAATGGGGTGTAATATGAACTCGGATGTATATTACCGTAACATAACATAACACATTCCATTATTGCGATTATCGGTTTTTTGAATTTCGTACATACGTTAAAAAAAAATACCAATACACTACATTTTTACAATATAATTCAATAATAAAATAAATTTTAGTACATTTTGTAAATCATTTCGCAAAAGTCTTGTTAGATATATTGTAATATAAGGAGTGAAAAGAGTTAAAAGGTTATATATTGTTGAAACTCCTATTACTAAAAGTGTCTTTTCAAGTATTTTAAACAGGCACTTTTATTCATGAAGATCTGTACATACTCAACAATAGACACATTTATTTTTAAAATATATGTATTGAGTGGTGAATTTTGGATTCAAATTGACAAACATTCGTATCAGTACTTGATTCAGAAATTATATACAACTTCGTCTATAATCATATCGATATCTCTTTGAGTGTTACTATCAGTTGGAAACAAAGCTTATAACAAGTTTACTTTGGACTGAACTTATAGTGAGTCCCGCTAAGCGATTCTTGCACGTCCATGGTTAAGGGCGGATACAGCCTTTCTGAAAGGGGTGGGTTAATTTTGGACTGGACTACCATTATTATATATATATATATATATTTTTTTTAAAAATTTTTGGACTGGTTAACTTTGGACTGGGTTACCATTACTATTTATTTTTTTTTACTTTATTTTATTTTATTTTTTTTAACTGGACTTAAAGTAATATGGTAAAAAAAAAAAAAAAAAATTGGGGGTGGGTTGAAGCCCAGCTTCGCCCCACCCTTGAATCCGCCCTTATCTATGGTAGAACGTGCTCATCTGGTATATTTATTTTTGCAAATCGTTTCTCACTGAATGAGAGATTAACTTAGAAGTGAAGTGTTTAAATAAGCTTGTCAAAAGAAAAAATGGGCATGTAAGTGGAAAATATTGGGTCCCACATTGGAAAGAAGGTGAAAACATATGGGGGTTAATATTCTCTTAGTTTAAGATTTGGGTTTAGCCCCTAGGCTAACTTGGGTCCAAACCAATAACCGCGCCCCATGCCTGGCCTGAAACTTTAAGTGTTCTTTTTATATCGGACTTGTTTAGTGAAGGGGAAGAGGATATTGATGGCCATTTCAATCTCTTTACCAGTTCACCCTATATATCTCTTAAGTTGGATATATCAAGTTCTGTTTTTCTGCTTCTCTCTTCTAATTCTCTCTCTAATTTTGATATCATTTACATAAAGTGACTAATTATGCAATCTTAGGCCAATTTTTATGAAATTATCACATTTGATCAAGAGCTGTATGGATCATTTGATTTTCCAGCACGACCAGTTCTTATAAAATCACGGGTTCTCATTGCAATTGTTGATCATTTCACCAAACATAGAGACCTTCGGGTTAGCGTCCCAATGGACAGAGAAGGGATGACAATCTTGGGCCGCCCTCGCCGTTTCCCTCTGTTTTACTCACAATCACCGCCGGCGACACCTCTCACACACGCATCTCTTGCAATAACTTCTCCGGCGAGATCTAATTTCACCAAACATAGAAACCTTTGGGTTAGTGACCCAATGGACAAAGAAGGGATGGCGATCTTGGGCCCCCGACCGCTGCATGGTGCGACGACCCCGCCGGTCAGTCGCTGTCGATTCCTCTCTGCTCTGCTCACAGTCGCCGCCGGCGACGCCTCTCACGCACGCATCAAAGGTCCTTGCTACCGATCGATACTGGCATTTCTCTTCATCTTCTCAGAGACCGCATTTAGTAATGAAGAATAAAGGGGAAAAATAGGTAAAAGAAGAAAAAGAAGGGAACAAGAAAAGAAGAGAGAAAATGTAGCAACATTTATATATATATATATATATATATATATATATATATAATTGTACGTATAAAAATATTATGGATATTTTACTTAATTTAGTACGTGAAGTCATGTAGGTGCAATTTCTCACACCTGATATCACTTAAAGAAATAAATCAAAAAGAAATACACGAAAAAAAAAGGGAGACAACGGACAATTTTGAAGAAAGGAACAATAATGGGAATTCGATCCTCTTCCATTCTCATTCATGCTCTATTTATAAGTTTTTTTTAAGAGAATTACATGAAGCCATTTTCTGGCATTCTTTTCAGACGTGGGTATTTATGCATACTGATCGTATGCATATTTCCTTTATGATGGGTGTTATGGAGTTATGGGCTTGTCGTGCTTGGGCTGTCCATTTTTATGTCAAGCGGAGCTTCTTTTGCTAATCGAGCCGACTTGACATGTGGTTGTTGTTATTGGGCTCCCAATCGATAATGGGCCTCTGGTTGGTTTTTGTTTGCAATGGACTGCACTTTATTGCCACGCGGTATGTTACAATTGGTGGGGATTTTTCCCTCCACACTTTGCCCCTGATTCCCTTTATGAAT